TTGTCTAATTAGTGTTACAATCACTAATTGTATACATATATATGTCTTTATATGTTATTAGGATCATTGTGTGTGTTGAAGTCTTCACTTGACACCTAGCACTTGTCCGACATTTCCATACGATCCACTCACTACAGGTGAGTTCGTACCCCTTAATTAACCTTTTAAATGTTTTTAAATGCTTTTATGGGGGGGGGGGGATACAATTTGAATCATACTAGTTGTTATATCAATCGCATGTGATTAATAACTAGCATACAAATGGATTTACTACACTTTTAGCTATTTTACTCAGTATATACTTCCAAATGACTTCTCAAAATGTTTTTACATGTTAAACTCTTTATTAAAATGTCTTACATATTGTATCTTTCCTTTCAAACTCTGTTACAATTGTGTTTAAAACAAAGGATTTATTATACTTTAAACTGTTCTTATCAAATAAACTGCTTTCAAATCATTTTATAAACTGGCATTAAGCCATCAATTCTTATTTATTAAACTTTTCAAAGGTTTTACAAAACTTCTTTTCTACTTTTATTTTGTCAATTGCACGCCTATATATGTATAGTTATATAAGTAATGTTTAAAGGACTTAGGACTGCTAGCTCGCTTTAATTCATTTTCCTTGTTTGGATGTGGCCTTAGGGTATCGGTTACTTGTCCGAATGTCATCTAAATATTAGTTATATATTATGTATACATATATAGAAATAAACGTTCTATTAGTCAATTCAGTACCTTTGGGTAGCAAAGGCATACTTTCGATTATACTCGTACATTACTAGTAACTATAATAGGTATAGTTAGGAGATACTACTTACTATTCCTAGTACAAGGAATCATACAAGAGTCAGTTCATTCATGAGTCTATATGAATATATTACATACTATATGAAGAGATACTATTACATACTATATGGAGAGATACTATTACATACTATATGAAGAGATACTTCTACATACTATATGGGACTAACCATTCTACACCCGGCTGTTAGCTACAGTGGGAAAATGCACATTGACGGATGTCTACGGTTATACTATTCGGCGAGTTATTATGCCGTGTTTATCCTAGGAAAATGGATACTATTTCTTATTTACCTTTATTTTGTGACATGTTCACATAAACGATGAGGTAGAATATATTTTATGACACATTCACATAAACAATTTCAATGATTATATAATTTTCCCTTTTACTTTTATCTTGTGACACATTCACATAAACGATGAGGTAGACTATATTTTGATAATAATAGTTGTACATGGGGAAAAACTTTCATTCATACGGAGAAGCAAACCTCCAACACTATCGGGTCTTGGTAGAAGACTACATTTTATACTAGTAGGAAATATGGGATTTTCTAGGGTTTTCATACTTATACGAACTTTTCATCAAACATTTACAAGTATTTTCTTTACAGTTTTACAAATCAAAGACACTAAAATACTTATGAATTCACCAGCTTTATGCTGATACTGACTTTCAAAATAACTTGTTTTCTCAGGTCGCCAATAGACAGGTACGATGACCAGGTTTTGTGATGACGGAGTAGTCAAAACTCGTCTTTTATTTTGATTATTCATTATGTTGTTATATTCTATGAAACAACACACTTGTGTTTAAAATTATACTATTAATGCAATGGACGATGTTGTTGCTTGTTTACTACTTTGCATTGTGGTGATACTTTACATGACGTCCTCCGCCCCAGAACGTTTCCGCCGTTCTTGGTTTTGGGATGTTACAAGTTGGTATCAAAGCCTTGGTTTGAGGCATTTAGACACACTCTCATGTATGTCTGAACACAAACTGAGGATTTGGTAAGTTTATCATAAACAAATGATTTTCTAAAAGGATTACTACTAGAAAGAAGGGGTGTGATGCATGAAATCGGTATGTGATTATGTGAATAGCATGCTAGATTAGGGCTAAGGATCTGCTCAGGATTTATATGATAGGAGAGATGCCTTGTATGTTTTACTGTATGAGTCGCGAGAGTTGCATGCTAGTTTAGATTATTGATGATATGATAGGATGGCATGTTAGGCAGTGCCATGGTTGGAACTCAATGCTTGAATGCTGCTTGCTTTGTGCTATTAGGAACCACTGCTAGTGCTGGCTAACTATCAAGTGGATATGCTAGGTTACATGCTGCACAAATTAGATAATTTTAAAATGTTAGGTTTAACTCTATTGCAAAGCTCTTTTTTGATTCCCACCGTTGTAGTGTGAGACCTTGTTGAAAGGACCTTAGATCAATCGATTTATCAAACAATAATAAGAACAGAACAATGAAGTATCACAAAGAGATTTCACTAAGAATGATAATCTCACAAAGAGATTATTGTTCGCACAAAGCGGCTATTAGGGTTTGTGAAAGACAACCTCTTCACAAACCCGTACAAAAGACTATATAGAACTATTATAGGCAATCCCTACAAATCAGGGATGTTCCAGCTAACTAATATATGATAACTATGGAAACAAGATAAATACTAAATCTGTTACATCAAAAACAATATATATACTGAACAACTTGTATGATGACAATGATGCTGATGCTGACGCTAGATTACATGTTGATGCTGAGGGATCAGTTTCAAACATCATCATATTATAAGGTTCGACCTTACAATCTCCCCCAATATGATGATGTTCAAAACAACAGCTATACTATAACACCTCTGGACAAAAATTCTTCATACTCAGCTTCAGCTTCTATTTTCACAGGCCAGTAAAGACTATCCAACAGCTCCTGTCTTCTATTCAGTAACTCCATAGCAATCAGTATGTGAAACTCTCCAGATAGATCTTGATGACTCATGCACATTTGTCTTAAGCCAACAAGATGTGCTGTTGGAGCTCTTGGAATTTCTATGGTGCGCTGAAAACACATTCTTCTGTTTTTATCAAGATAAAACATTCCATGTTCAGGAACAGAGATGAACTTATGTTGAACCGGCTCAACACTGATAGGAAGAGAGTTGTTTATTCCTTCAGCACCAAAATTTAGAACCAACACATCTTCACTATCAACTTGAAATCTGGTCCTTCTAATTCTTGGAACTGAAGAGCTTTGGCCTTGCTGCTGAGAACGCTGCGTAGGAACAAGATCCAGACGTTGAACTTTCTTGATCAGTAAATGGAGAGCACAGGTCAGTTCTGAAGAGAGAGCCGAAGTTTGCTTGGATGCTAATTCGAGCAATTCCATCCATTCAGAATATCCATATCTGATAAGCTCATCCCTCTTGACAACTTCAGTGTATGGATGTTGAGAACCTTGATGAGTGATCAACAAAGTAAGAATTTTCTCGTTACGAGGTTTAGAAGCTTTAACTTTGATGATCTTATCACTGATCACTTGTCGTTTAAGAACATCTTGAAACCTCTTGCAATCAATCCTGTCGAGAACATTTTCAGTCCTTGACATGCTGCTACTGGGAGGAGGCTGGGAAGATTTGGATTTGGACTGTTATTCTAAGAACCTTTGCATCTGAGCTTCAAAGGATCCTTTGGCCTGAAGTTTATGCTGAATGAGAGATTCATTAGATTGAGCAATATTCTTTAGAAGCCGAGCTTGATTGACTTCATCAAGAATTTGCTTAACTTGATTAGGAGACATGTTCCATTCAGCTGCCAAGTTGGATATGCTGACGATGGACTTAGGTTTCTTGCTAGGCAGAGAAGTATCAGTGTGTGAAATAGCCAATTCAGTATCTGCTACCTTGCGCTTGCGAGATAGAGGTTGAATATCCTCACTAGCAACATCTGAATATTCTCTTGAACTAGCACAATGGGATCAATGAATTTCATATCTAGCATTTGACATTCATCATCATGTTCATCTTCATTATCATCTGAGGATTCTCCTTGAACTGGAATAGTGGGATCAATGAAGTTCATGTCCAACATCTGACACTCATCATCATGTTCATCATCATGCTCTCTATCTTCAACAAGCTTTTTAGTATCTACTGGTCTATCAGACTCGTTAACAGCTGGTCTATCAGACTCGTCCACAGGCTGAGGTGGCTCAGTCTGGTTTAAAAAGTTATCCTCAGATCCGAGCTCAACAGATTCAGTTTCTCCCTCTTTTTGATCATCATCAGTTTCTCCCCCTTTTTGATCATCATCATGTTGTAGGCCAGGGGAAGGAGTTAACAAGAGAACTCCCTTCAACTGATGGACATCGACCTCAATTCGTTGAAGACGCTGAATCATGTCCCGAGTCAGTGTCAGAAGCTCATTAAATGCTGAGGCCGGTATATGAAGGAATTGAGTACCTGGAACTTCTTGTGAGCGATGTGGCTCCCCCAGAGAAGGTTGCTCCCCCCTGCGATGGGTGCTCCCCATGGGATGGTTGCTCCCCCTGAGATGGTTGCTCCCCCTGAGATGGTTGCTCCCCTTGAGCTGAGTGAACTCTCTCAGTGACAGAGAGAGTATGATGAGAAAGTTGAGGGGAGAGATGACCACCGTCCTGTGTTTCAGCTTGTTGATCAGCATGATCTTCATTGTTACCATCAGCTCCTTCATCAATATCAACGGTTAGTGAAGGAACAGTATATGGATTTGCGATCCATTCTCTCATTCGATCAGAGATGCCGATGTTAGTTTCCATTGGATCATCCTGATACATTCGCACTGACATGCGTGGGCATTGGATGGGGTTTCCAGAGTGGGAGTAGTAAGCTTCAGCGAAAAATTTATCTAGCACAAGAGCAATCCAGCGTGGAAAGGGGACATGATCAGCGCGTACATTTGCACGAAGAAGTTGGACAAGCTGATCAAAGAAGAAAGCCCCATAATCAAGACGCTTGTTGAGAAGAAGGGAACATACAACTTGTTGCTCATAAGTGCTTAGTTGATCACCACTGCGAGATTTGTGACCCACACATTTGCACAGAGTCCCGGTGAAGAACTTCCATCCTGGAGTCATAGATTGACGCAGAATGAGAGCTGATCGAGCACCAGCCTTTGAGTGATCATATCCCAGTTAATCAAATAGGTGTCGACAACGTTCAATAGTTGGAAGCTCAGAGAATGGTTCAAAGATTGGTAACCTGAGCGCAGCACTGAGGAGGTCAGCGGTGATAAAAACTGAGTGTCTGCCACGGCCAATAGTCCCGGAGATGACGTTGTTTTCATCATTAATTGTTGCAGTGTAGTAGAACTCACATACTTGTTCGGGAAAGAACTCTGATGGAACGTCACTGATTGCGTATTGAAACCGGCAGGAGACTAAGAAATTGACAAAATATCAAGTGCAAGACCTCGATGAACATCTAGTATATCAGGGTTGAAAACGATGTTTGTGGCTTTGATGTATATGGGAAGAGGAGGAGAGTTTGGAGCTTGGACGACTCTTCTTGAAGTGGAGGAGAAGGTGAATAGTGATGCCGCCATTGAAGAAGTTTAGGATTCTAGGGTTTTTTTTTTTGTTTTTTTTTGTTTTAAGAGAGAGAGAAGTTTGGAGGAAGGTGAAAAGGTTTGGGGAAGAGGTGAAGAGGTTTAAATAGGGGATGAAATGGTTAAAAAAAAGTTAATGATTATCTTTATCGAAAATAACTGCGGATCTTGACAGACTGTCAAATCAAAAAAATAGCCGTTGGGTAAATAGAGCCGTTGTACTGAAGAGGAAACGACAATCAGTGACTGCGGAAGCGCTGAGATTATTATCACGGAAAGTTACATGCTGAAAGATAGTGTGTTGTCAATTCAAGGTACAACTTGCTTGTTTAGGATTAGCAAGGTGATTGGTGCGTGTGATAGATACTAGTTTAATTATCTAACCATCGACACAGAGTGTTGAGTCTTTATCAGTGAGTGGTATTTCTTACTGAATCATTAGACATTGAATGAGAAGAAGGTGAAGAGAGGATTGTTGCGTGTGATAGACCTTGGTGTTTTGGTCTAACCATCGGCAAAGACTGTTAGATTCTCATCGGCATGTGTTTTGTCATGCTGAATCACAGAATCAGTGTAAGAGTGGTAAGAGGGGATAGTTGCGTGTGATAGAACTTGGTGTTTTGTCTATCCATCGGAAAAGATTTTTAGATTCTCATCAGTATGTGTTTTGTCACACCGAATCACAGAATCAGTGTAAGATTGGTAAGAGGGTATAGTTGCGTGTGATAGAGCTTGGTGTTTTGTCTAACCAATTGAAAGGACCTTAGATCAATCGATTTATCAAACAATGACTAATAATAAGAACAGAACAATGAAGTATCACAAAGAGCTTTCACTAAGAATGATAATCTCACAAAGAGATTATTGTTCGCACAAAGCGACTATTAGGGTTTGTGAAAGACAACCTCTTCACAAACCCGTACAAAAGACTATATAGAACTATTATAGACAATCCCTACAAATCAGGGATGTTCCAGCTAACTAATATATGATAACTATGGAAACAAGATAAATACTAAATCTGTTACATCAAAAAAAATATATATACTGAACAACTTGTATGCTGACGCTGATGCTGATGCTGGCGCTGGATTACATGCTGATGCTGAGGGATCAATTTCAAACATCATCATATTATAAGGTTCGACCTTACACTTGTAATCTATGAATTAGCTAGCATCTGTGGTATGTAATTATATTCATAAGATAGTTAGCAGGTGTTAGTGAGGGTTTCTTCTGCAGCTGATGGTGGAGAGTTGCAGGAAGAGAATCCTAGGAGGATCTAAGAAGCATGTTAGCATTAGTAGGTGTGTTGTTAAGGAGTCACTTAGGGAATCAAGATGAGTCTTATGGAAAGTACAGATAGGTGTGGAAGGCAATATTGAGCTTGTACTACTGGAAGCATAGGATCTGTTAAGGAGTCACAAGGATACTAAGACACCCGCTTGGTGTGAGATTCTTCGATTGTTTTTTTGATGGTTTATATGGTTTATTTTCAGTATGCTGGTCACTAGAGGTGGTTCAGATGCTTGTGAGGGATCGGGCTCTGGAGCCGGACCCTTGGATGCTCAGATGCGGGAGTTCATTTCTTCTAAGATTACCCACGTAATTTTGGAGTAGACTCCTATGATATTTGGTATGATCATGGAGGGTATCATGGGCATTTTGGATGATGTTTTGGGTGCATTTCGCACTGAGGTGGTAGCTATGGTGGGTGCATGCTCTCTTATGTTCCGAGAGATTCATGCCAGTAGGGATCGTAAGTTCTTCAGAATAAAGGACCCAATTGCTAGCAGACAGTGTTTGGTTGACATCGGGAACGCCTTCTGGACTAGCTTCTGTCTCGAGGGGTCGAATGTCAGATTTGCATCTTGTCTTCTGAAGGATAAAGCTCAAGATTGGTGGGAGAAGGTGGACTATGCTTTAAGAGGAAAGACAGTAGAGACGATTTCTTGGAATGATATTGTTGAGAGATTTAGGGTTGACTTTGCACCCATGATTAAGGTTCAACGGCTGGCAAGAGAGTCTTAGGACCTTCTCCAAACTACCGAGACCGTAGTGGATATTACTGCCATGTTTAGTAAGAGGGTTGTCTTAGTTCCGCAGTATGAGGTAGATGAGGAGATAAAGAATGCTGATATGTTGAAGCATGAGATTCAAGATTTTGTAAGTATGTGTAGCTGCAAGATATTGGAGGACATGATTGCTTGGGCTTGTGAGCGGGAGAGTGATCTAAAGACTATGAGGAAGAGGAAGTCGGTTCAGGCGCATGTATCAGAGTGCTCGAGGAAGAAGCCCAAGCTTATGTATTCAAGATTGAGGGTCCAGAAAATCCTAGTTAGATGCGGCTGGTGTGGTCGGACCCATAAGGGATTCAAGTGTGGCAAGACTGGTCACTTCAATAGGGATTGTATGTAATACTTGATTCCAGGTATGAAATTAATTCTAAATTAGTTCATGATTCTCTTTGGCCACAGCGTGGTGAAGCCTCACCACGACATGACGATAGGCCTTTGGGTCGTGAACCTTATTGGACCAACATGGCGTGTTGGTGTTGTTCCACAGCGTATTTTCAGCTGGTGGAGAAAACCCTAAATTTTAGGTTGTTGCACCTTATATGATCTCCTTTAGTCCCCAGGGGCTCATCTCTTTACTAGCCTTTATTCCCCCAAATCTTCCTTTGCAACGATAATCATCTTTCCATCCCATTTTGAGGTAGTTTAGTGTTTTTGAAGCTAAAGAAGGAAGAAGATGGAGGTAGGAAGCAAAGATACAACAAGCAAGCCATCATTCTTCAGTTTGGCACTCTTATGGACATTTGTAAGTGTCCAAGACTCGATTTTGATCATTCCAAGTTGCTAGATATTGAGTTTGGTCCCTTTAGTTTCTTATTCTTGAATACTGGAATGGTTAGATCTCCTAAAGTTTTCAACCGTATGGATCTGCAAGTCAAGGTGGTCTAATAATGTCTTGGATCTGGTCTACAATCAAGTTTTGGAGCCATGCATAAAGATTAGGTCATAAATCCTCATTTTGTCCTAATATGGGTTCAAGACATGCATTGGACATATATGTATGAAAGGCACCCACCTTTCAGATGGTTTGGGTGTTACAATCACTTCTGGAAAGGTGGGACCTCAGACTTTAAGGATTAAGTGCTTATTGGTTAAGACCTTGCTTTATCAAGCCTTATTGTTTGGGTTTTGGACCCTTTTTGGTAGTCCCTATGTATAAAGTTGGAAACTTTACCCTTCCAAAATATCATTTTTGTCTAGATATGAGCTTTGGAGCTCATGGAGTCTAAGAAGGCAGCTTCATTTGTTAAGTTGTTGGAACTCAGGCAAAAACGGTGTGTTTGCAATTCAACACGACTTGTTTGTCGGAGTTCGACCGTTGTAGTGTGAGACCTCTCATTCTAAGAATTATCTGGTTTTAGAAATATGTAATTGTATTCGTGAGCTAGTTTGAGGAAGTTAGCAGGAGTTCCTTATGCAGCTGATGGCAGAGAGTGGTGTGGAGTTTGCCCTAGGAAAACCTAAAAGGAGATCTAGTGCTGGAAACCTTATCTAAGAGGGGTAATTGTATGGCTATAGAATGACTTGGTGGAGTCAATGAAATTCTTGAGGAAAGCATGGATAGATGTGGAAGGTAGTATGGGCCTGTACTACTAGAAGTAGAGGATCCGTACTCGATTCAAGGAGGGTTATGATGAAACCAGGGAGCTTGTGGAGTTTATGATTCCGCGATATATGTATTTTTCGATCTGTATTTTGATGCTTTATATGATCTATTTTTAGTATGGTGATGTTACGAGGCAGACCTGTTGGCAGCTCCGGTGTTGGAGAGGGCTCGGGCTCATGATCTGGACTCGGGCAACTAGATGACCAAACGATGGAGTTCATCTCGTCTGAGATTACGTGTAGTATACTTGAGCAGACTCTTGTGATCTTTAGCATGACCAAGGAGGGGTCCTGGAGATTCTGGACGAGCGCTTGAGCGCTTTCGAGTAGAGATGGTGGCCTTGGTTGGGGCACGTTCTTTGAACATTAAGGAGTTCCAGGCATTTGGAGCGGATTCATGAGGCACAGGTCAAGGCTACGAAGGAAGAGCACTACATAGGCGAGCGTATTGTGGGTCAGGTGGCTTCCTTCGATTATAATAGCCATGGATTGCTGGCTCTAAATCGATGAGTTTGGGTTTCGTATTGGGGCAGTGTGCACTAGATTCTGATGGAGGAGGCTCACAAGTCGAGGTTCTCCATTCATCCCAGGGAGACAAAGATGTATAGGGATCTTTGTCCTAATTATTGGTGGCCCTGCATCAAGCGGGATGTAACATGGTATGTGGAGTGGTGCTTAACCTGCAGTAAGGTCAAGGTTGAGCATCAACGCCCTCACAGCAAGATGCAATCGTTGGAGATTCCCGTATGGAATGTGAAGACATCACCATAGATTTTATCATGAAGCTTCCCATGACTGCGCGTGGAGTAGATTCAATATGGGTCATCATGAGTCGTTTGACAAAGAGCGTGCATTTCATTCCGATTCAGAATTTATTTAGAGAAGTTAGCTGAGGTTTATATCAGAGAGGTGGTGGCACGTCATGGGTTGCCGGTACTAGTGGTCTCCAACAGGGATGTCCTATTTACTTCTAGGCTTTGGAAGGGGTTTCATGACGAGTTGGACACTCGTCTCCATTTTAGTAGAGCATTCCATCCGCAGACTGATGGTCAGAGTGAGCGGACTATTCAGACTCTTGAGGATATGTTACGAACGTGCGTGTTGGAATTTGTAAGGAGTTGGGATACGTATCTTTCGTTAGTGGAATTTTCGTATAACAATAGTTATCACACCAACATTGATCGACCTCCTTTTGAGATGCTCTACGAGAGGAAATGCAGGACCCCGATTTGTTGGGGAATGGTAATATAGTGGGTTATGGGGAGTATTGAGGTGGTACTCAAGTCCACTGAATTGATTCAATAGGTTCGAAGCAGTCTCCCGACACCTCAAAGTCGGCAGAAGAGTTATGTCAACAGGTGCCGGTCAGACTTAGAGTTCCAGGTGGGAGATATGGTTCTCTTGAACGTGTCACCTCGGAAAGGTCTCATCTAGTTCAGGATAACTAAAAGGTGAAAGTATGGATTCAATGGATAAAAAGCATGCTAGGCCATTAAGGATAACTAATAAGTAATAGGATAAATTCATTAGTTTATGTAAGAAACTAAATATATTACCTGATATTATGGAGTAAACCAACGAGTAACAAGTTTTTTAAATTGAGTTGGGTTCACCCTGTTATCCTTCTTAGTTTGTTGTGCCACAATTTGATCGATTGTAAGAATTGAATCATATGCACGTGCTTTTAGTAAACCTTTCCAAGTCCTCGATTTTTTCCCCATGCTAAAAAGGATCCATTTCTTGATTTCACTTGTTTCAGCCGGATGAATAACAAACTTGGCCTACAAATAAAACTTACATGTAAATATAAATACACCATAATTTTGGTTAATAGATACGCACCTTAACCATAGAATACATATCTTCTTTCTTCTGTACAGGGATCTTCCTCCAATCATCATAATCTATTCCGACATGATTATCCATCCTTACAAGGGTCCCAAGGTATTGTATGAGTTCATTTTCTTCATCTCCTACCAGTTTTCGAAACCTATTAAATGTCACTACTATTTTTTGGGAGCTACTCATGTTCCATGTCTTGGTCGTTTGAGTATAACCCCTTACCTTCTTTTGAGCACCTAATAAAAAAATAGTAAAGTCAACCAAAATTAGCAATAGAGTGATAATATGATAGTTTTCATCAATTAATTAGTAAATAGACATGTGTTTCTTTTTTACTCAAAATTGAAAGATGTCTTTTTGTTACAACTTGGAAGCCTTTATAATGAGGCGATAAATTTATTCCAAAGCAAACATCTAAACCTTTATTTGAAAAAAAGTATAAAAGACTAGGGAAAGATTAAGAATTGACAAACTTTAAAGAAGTATTAATTGAATTTAAGCTTACATATTTCAGATGATGTAAACAAAGAGATAGTTAGATAAAGGAAGTGGGCATTCGATCTAGTGGTAGATAAAGGAAGTGGGCATTTTTCATCAACAAAATCAAAACATTTTATCTAGTAGGAACATATCTACCTACTCAAAATGGATAACATATAACACAAAACATATATAAAAAAAATGCAATAATAGTATCAATCAACAGAGTAAGGGTCATTTACATAGAAAGGTAACTGTTATAAATTGAAATTGTAAATGATAAAAGTAAAAAAGAACATGAAATACTTGAAAAAATATGTAACATATGTCATTGACATACCTGATTGACCTCCTTCAGTAGAGCTGTGTTCTTCAGCAGTGGATTGGACTCTTTCAATAGTTTGTGGATGACCTGATTAATCTCCTTCGGTATAGATATCGGTTGCAGAAAACTCAGAACTTTGATCATGTATCTCACTGTCAATAGGGATATCAATTGAGGTGATGCATAGCCTCTTACGCCTACCCATCCTCCTATAACACCACAACAGATAAGTACATGCATACAAATATATACATATAATACATAGATACATGCATATAAATATAAACATAAAGATAAAGTGCATCAATTTTTCATTAACTATTATCAAATACTAATCTAGTCACTGTTATTTTCTTCATCATCTATGACATCTATGTTTTCATTAGCTATTATCATTTCTGGTGTAACATCTATGCCATCATCACCTCAAGTTAGGTACATCAAATATGTCATCGTAAGCACCTCCCATGTCAAATACATATCTCTCTAAGCTTTACATGTCGCACAATCTCCCAACCTATATGTTTAGGATCCATAGAGTAGAACACCTTGTCGACTTGTGATGCCAAAACAAAGGGATCATCAATCAAGTTAACACCGGTATGCGTCTTATATGAGAAGTTGACCAATGTTACATCGCCATCTTTCTTGCAACCTCTGTTGATGTCAACCCACTCACATTTGAATAAAACTACTTGTATCATTCTAGAGTAGTTTAATTCAATAATGTTAGTTAATTTTCCATAGTAGTTATTCATGCTTTCGACTGGCCTTCTATCTCAACTACTGGAATAATTTGCACCTTCTACCATAACAGCCACACGACTATTTTGAGTTCGTGAAGTTCCTCTTGTTTTCTTGTGTGAAATCGATAACCTTTAACTAGGTGTCCTGAGTATTTTTGCACAACTCTAAGTGGACCACATGCAAGCCATTTTATTTCGTCCGTTACATTTTGATCTCCTTGCTCTTCCATGCGTGCGACCTATCAACATAATTAGATAATTCATCTTGAAAATCAAACTTTGATAAATCAAATCTTTATTCCAAATTACCCTTCTCTTAAACCAATCCCTAAATTGTTGGCACTGAATCTTGTTGATTTCATAATCATGTATCCGCCAAGATTGATTTTGTCCCTTTATTATCCTTTTGTGTTCCCTTAAGATAAAGAACAACAATATGAGGTAAATGAAGAATAATATGTAAGCGCATAAGACAACTAGTTTATCTTACTCTCGGAATGGTGAAACTGATTCGACATTAAATAGGACATAACGATGTGCTTGAGGGAGTGACTTCTCGTCCAGGACAAAATTTGAAGATCTTTTTTTTTTTTTTTTTTTTTTTTTTGAAGTGATACCCTAGAATGCTTTTTACGTCCCAATGAACGACCTGGGGAAAGATGGTTAGATTCTTCAATCTCATTTTGTGACCTTCATCATCATTCCTAATTGGTCTAGTAAATATGGTTTCTACTCCCGAGAGATATCTGGAGCAAAATGTTACACTTTCTTGAGCTAAATAGCATGCAGCAATTGAGCCTTCAGGATGAGCTCTATTATGAACGTTGGACTTAAGTGTTAGAAGGTACATATGATTACAATTACAAAAAAACTGATCATCTATAGAATAATAAAAGATAATAGGAAAATTAAAAGAAATAATGTTTACCTCTCTATAGGGTACATCCATCGAAAGCAACTGGACCTCCTAACTTAACCTCTCTAACTAAGTGGATCACCAAGTGCACCATTACAGTAAAGAATGAAGGAGGAAAAATCTTTTCCAATTTGCATAAAGTGAGCTAAACTTTCGATTTGAGATACTGGAGATCAACTTCAATTAAGTCTTTGTAGCAAATGATCCTAAAAAATTGCTCAACTCTATTATAATGGAGCTTACATGGTCTGGTAAAGTAACTCGTAATGCAATGGGCAAGTATTCTTGCATCAACATATGGTGATCATAACTTTTCATCCCAATTAGTTTCTTCTCATTCAATTGCACACATTGAGAGATATTGGATGAAAATTCACCAGGAGGCTTAACTAGGTTTAATATTTTTAAAAACAATCCCTTTTCATCCTGATTCATTTGATAACATGCCCTTGGCATGAACGTAGTATCGCTTCGAGGTCGCTTTTTGTGATGTAATTCCTTTCTTATACCCATTTGTTTTAGATCAAGTCGTGTTTCATAGTTATCTTTTGACTTTTTTCCTTGACCTAAAAAAGTCCCCACAATGTTCTCGGATACATTTTTTTTAGTGTGCATCAGGTCAAAATTGTGACGCAACAACAAGTACTCCTAGTATGGCAACATAAAAAAATAATTTTCTTTTTCCATTGACTACCATCTACTTTTTCAACAAGAAATTCTATACCATCCAACTGTTGGAGAACCTCCTCTCCGGAAGAAGGTTTTGGGGCAACTCGTAATTCCTCTCTTCCAACAAAGGATTTAGTGTCTCTATGCCAATGATGGTTACTTGGAATCCATCTCCTATGACACATGTAACAATACTTTTTTCCATAGGTTAGCCATTTAGAATGAATATCAAAACCACATAATGGACGTGCAAGTGCTCCTTTGGTGCTCCATCCAGACAAATTGGCATAACCGGGAAACTCAGATATAGTAGAGAGAACCGATGCCTTTAATTGAAAGTTTTGTTTAGTTGATGCATCAAATGTCCCAACTCCAACATCCCACAACTCTTTCAATTCTTTTATCAAAGGTTGCATATACACATCTATCTTGTTTCCGGGAGCTCTTGGTCCAGGAATAATTAAGGGGAGAATGAAATTAGGTTGTCTCATAACCAACCATGGTGGCAAGTTGTAGGGAATAAGAAAAACAGGCCAAATACTATGCGACATGTTCATTGGCCTGAATGGGTTAAAACCATCACTTGCTAGAGTTAAACGAACATTGCGGGGACCACTAGCAAATTCTGGAATTTTTTTTATCAAAATCTTTCCAGGCTAATGCATCAGTCGGATGTCGAATCTTTCCATCTTCCACACATTCCACATGGTGCCACTTGATCAGGCTAGATGTCTTCGACGACATGAACAATCTCTGAAGTCTAGGCTTCAAAGAAAACCACCGTAATACTTTTGATGCCTTCTTCTTAGGTGGACTCGTTCCATTTTCTGAATTATCTTGAGATAATTTCCATCTCGATGATCCACAAATAGAACAACATTCATCTTTCTCCTTCTCTTCCCAAAACAACATGTAGCCGTTAGGACATGAATGGATTTTTTCATATCCTAATCCCATTTTAGCCATTATTTTTTTCACTTGTGGTGTGGTCTTAGGTAAAAAATTTCCTTTGGGTAACAAATCTTTTAAAAACTCCAACAACATAGAGAACGATTTGTTACTCCATCCATTAATACACTTTGGATGGTACAGATGCACTATACTAGATAACTTGTTGTATTTGCAATTTGGATATAACTTCTCTTCAACCTCCTTCACTATATTATCAAATGTTCTTCCTCTATTTTCCACTTCTTGACCACAATTCAAGGTAGCCTCGTGTGTCTCTACTCCAGTTCCATCAATTTCAGGTTGAAATACATCATTCAACATTTCATACATGTCATGTTCAAATACATCTTCTACTACATTATGTACTATACCAGACGATGTAGTTGTTGAACCTTCCCCATGATACACTCATACCAAGTATTATGAACGAAACCCCAAAGAGATGAGCTGATCCAAAATATCTCCTCTTCCACGATAATAGATAATTAGGCAACGTGCAAGGACACAATATCTTTCCGTTAACATTTGATCTGTCAAATGCAAAATTCAAGAACAATTGAACCCCATTTATAAAAGATTCACTACATCTTGGTGCATAATACATCCAAGATCTTTCCATTACTGCTCCAATGAAAACAAACAAGTTTGGTAATCATATTGATGGAAAAAAATTTAGTGATTGCAGGAAAAGCAAAAAAGTGACAAAGACATAAAAAAGTTGTTAACACCCCAAAATTTAGTTCATGAGTCTTAATGGAATCATATAAACATAGGAGGAAGCTAAGAAACTAACAAATTCATAAATGTTGGAAAATATAATGAAACACAGACTAAAGCTAGTTGCAACATGTGCAAGTTTGAAGCCTAGTCAACTCTTAGTCATAAAAAAATAAGCCTAGTCAACACGGTGTAATTTTAGTGTCTAATATACAACTAAGAAGTCTTGTGATTACAATCTTATAAAGAGTGATCATCATTTGAAAGTAATTTTCTTTTGACGTGTCAATTAAATTTGAATTTTTTTTTCCAATTTTTGGCATAATTTCTTCAATGGGCTACAAATGCTAACACCACAACATTAACAACAACTTTTATTGGCACAAAAAAACATGAGCGTGGGGAGTAAAGATGGTATTTCTAATTCGGTTGGTGATGTTGTTCTAAATCTTGGATCACCTATGCATGTTCTACCTCGTGGTGATCAAGATATGTTCCTCAAGCTGCTTCTTTTTTTCTTTTCTTATACTCTCTATATTTATCTTTTCCTTTAATTTCATTTATTTTTTTATTATAGAATTCCATGTACATTTTTTTCCTATTACATTACATCATTATACATAGAAAAGTCTACCCATTATAGCTTAAAAGTTGATACACAACTTCTTAGATTTTCTTTTTTTCAAAATAGTTGGATCATGATATATAGTTTTTGTAACCATCTTTGATATATGAGTTTATTATGTAATAGAATTTATATATAAAAAGTGTTGATGTATCTAACTAGCTTTTTTTTTTTTTTTTTTTTTTTTTTTTTTTTTTTTTAATAATAATTGGATACTTTGGAGTTCTGATGATTTGATAGTTTTAAAAAACATATTTAATCCATTTCTAAGAAAATCAAGCATTTTGTTACTTAAGTATGTAAGAATAAAGCATGATATCTGTAAATAACTAAAAAATACGCCTTTTGTAGTTAAAATGGCTTAGCTGCAACTGCAACAGCAACAACAACAACAGCAAAATGGTAACCAACAACAACAACAATAGCAAAATGGTAACCCACAACAACAGTAGCAGCAACAACAACATCTTCAACATTCACTCTCTGCTCCTTTAATTCAAAATTCAAATTTAAATGTTCAACAAAAAAAGATAATAGGGACAAGTAGTGTAACAGGGGATGGGAGCATGTCAAATTCCTTT